AAAAGTATAAAGGTTCTCCTCTTTTTAGCCATACTAATACAAATACCAGAACGTTAATTGCTTAAATTCAGGAGTATAAAGTACCCACATTAGGCCTCCCTACACAGGGTAAAAATATAAGGATGCTTCACATCTCCTGCTAAGCATTTTCTTTTTCACTACTTCACACATATATGCATTTTTATATATAACAACTTGATTCAACAACAGCAGGTAGCTCCCACTATAGTCAGACTCTATACTTAAAGTCAGTGTCAGTGTATGGATCAGCTGATAAAGGCACCAAGACAGCTGAAACTAATTACAATTTGCAGGTAGGGTGGTAATTATGCTTGTAACTGCCTAAATCAGGCATACAAATGCATGGTTGCATTTGTATAGAGGCTGATAGAATACTCTGTGCCAGCTGAAAATTCAGCCCTAAATAGTGGTAATGTTCTTATCTAAAAATTACTTTTGTTTGCCTAACGTCTGACAGTGTTACATCTATTTCACTAGATGTTCAATTAGTTTGTTTTTATAGTGTTCTCATTTCCATTTTAGCTTTCGTTACTGATGGGAGAGAGCAGGTTTCTGGCTTTGCACTTAAAACCGGGCCCAAGGCAAAGAACGTGGCACCGGTTTGTCTTCACCCTTCCAATGTCAGCTGCATAGAGCACTCAGCCAACATTTTAAGCTCTCAACAGCTTTTGTGTTTTTAAAGCACATTCTAGCTAGCCCCTGTTTCGTCTCTGATGGCTGGCTTTCAGAGGTTGTAAACATCCATCTCTTGGTGGAGTTTTCAGTTCCTATTTTTGAAACAGCAACTATTTTTCTGCAAAATACAGGTCAAATCTTCCTGTTGAATCCATAACAGATTCACAAGCAGGTGCTCTCAAGCAGCTGTAATCTCTCCCACCTTTTCTCTTTGAACAAAAACCTATAAAAGGTTAATCATCTTAGTCCATGAATGCTTTAATAGCTTCCCGTGAGTGTATGTTTATCAATCCTAGGTATAGGTTTGTGAATGGCTGGATCACTCAATCCCAGACTAAGCAACATAAGGAAGTTCACGTGATTCAGATATCAACAAAAGGGGAAGAGCTCAGCTTCATCCTGTGTTCCAGACTTCATTCGGTCTCTTGGCCAACTGATTGTTTCTTTAATATTTTAGTGGGTTTTTTTCTAATTTTTTTAAGCAAGCAGACTATTGCTTGCATATACATCACCCTCCCTCAGTAGAAGCTTTAGCCTGTTTACTCACTCCTAACTACCACCTGGTAGCTATACAGGCTTCTTAAACACCGTTTATGGTATAAACTACTGAGCACTACTCCATATTTCAACTAGTAACAAAGGTAGGTTGATAACACAATGCATAATTTCCTCAAAATGGTGAAGGGCATACTTAAATAAGCTCCACGGCAATGTACAGATAAGACACCTACCCAAAGGAATTTTCTTCTTGGAGCACTACTACCCAGAACTTCAAGATACACATACTAAGGGAAGTGAACAAGCGTGCTTCTAGAAAACTGCATTCTCCTTGCAAGTGTGGATAAATAGCTCCAAACAGCAAGACATCTCCAGCTAACACCACCTGCCCCACAGAAGACCCTTTCCTCGGGTAGCTGTTCTTCAATTTTAAGAGGCAGCAATTTAGAACAATGGTTAAGAGTAAGGATTCTTGTAGCAGTGAACGCAAGCTCATTGAACGGTTTGATTTTGGACAGCCTACAAGAAGAGAAGGTTGTGTTTTAATCAAAGATCACATTTTGATGCCCTCTTCAGAGAGTGCCAGTCTTTTCGAATGAAAACAATTCTTCTCTATGCCGAATGCGTGCTGGCTAGCCACTGGCAGAGTGGTAAATGAATGAGAGCTAGGTTAGAAAGAAATGTCCCTTTTATCTCAAAGTTTTCTCCTTAAAGTTACAGAACAGATCCCAGTCTTACTGATACAGAAATCTCAGCATAAGGTCTAAAGAAATTATACTTAATTCAACTAAACTCTCTGAATTTAAGTTTAAAAATTATTCAGGAGATCCGAGTTATCCATGTCATGATTGAAGCTAGGTATTGTACAAAACCAGCTGACTACTTTTACTCAACAAGTCACAGCCCATAGCAGCTAGACAGTAGAAGTATTATTGTTTAAAATTCTGGTTTTGAGAACCAGTCTCACCTGATATTTAAAAGAACACCAACCAAAATACCCCCTCAAGTTATGCACTTGTTCTAATGCTACAACATGTGCATGTAGTATTGGAAATGGAGAAGGCAGGGGCAAACCTTGGTTTCGTAAAAATTTCTTATTTTTGCTTGTTTCTGTTACTCTGGAGCACCTCTCTAACTTAGAAAGCCCACTTCTACCTCTCATCCTGTTCTGTCATGTACTCAAGCTCCTTGCTGCCGTACAACAGCTGTGAAACTAATAAGCACACTCTCCCACTCCATTATCCACTCAAGTCCATAGACATACTGAGCAGAGCCCCACTGAGCCCCCGCTCCATCTGACCACAGTGATAATAAGATGTGTTGTCCAATGGGCAGAGATCAGAGAGTTTTGTATTCGCTCACTACTAGCTCCCCTCTGCTAGCAAACTCCTAACAGCATCATGCAAGATACCACCCTACCGAATTTGGGTCACTTGATTCCTACTTTCTTCTCCAGTATCCAAAGGACTTGTTATGCTGCTCTAGGCAATTAGATGGAGAACAAGTTGTCAAATCAGCAAATCAGTGTTAGTTATTACCAATCAGCTTATTTTAATCCAAAAATCTCTGTTTTCACTTCTCACTGAAAACCTTCAACATCCAAAAAGCAGTTAAGGGCTTCAGTACAATCCTAAAACAGACAGTGGTAGCGTATTCTCTCGTCCATTCAGGACCAAGCGTGCCTTCAGTTAACTGCTGCTTGGAGTATAGTCAAAGAGCAGCAGACAAAACAATGAATACAGTGTCTGTTTTAAATCATCTCATTTAATGACAAGGAGACTGAGCTGCCATTTTTGTTAGTCCTTATGTAAGTTTTTCTTTTTTTTTTTTATGAGTATACCTTTTTTTAATAAAGAGAGAGGCATCTCATGCTGAAACTTGACATAATTGGTCGAGATAATAATGTGTCCAGAATGCAGGAGGGGGTAAAGACACAGTGAAGGCAGGCATAGCCTTCCTCATTCTTCTCCTTCGAGAGTTAGCAAGATTGAGCAGAAACAGTTCCTCCATTAGAAAGTTACATGCAACGAAAGGAGAGCAGCAAGACCCAGTGCTCTGAACAATCATTTTCCATTCATTTAGCAGCACTAGAGCTGTGCAGTAGTGGTAATGACTATGAGGGAATACAGTAAGCACTACACATCCAATTGGTTTTGGGTACAAGTGAACTTGAGATAGAAGCTAAATACAAATAATTTGGAAATTAAAGACGACCCAAGGAGTAGTGGTAGGTTGATACGATTGTAAGTTTGCAGTTGAAGATGCCCTTCCACCTTCCAAAAATAACAAAGAAACCAAAAACTGTTGTTGAGGTTTTAGCATGGTATTTATTGAACAGTTTATTTCCTACAGCCACTTTATTATGTAAGTGTCAGTGCATATTTAGCTCAGATGTTTATTCTGAATGGGTAAGGACAAAAACCCCACAGCTACATACATCCAAGGGAAGAGAGGAGAACAGCAAATATATTAAGGGAAAAAAAGTTTGGTTCTGGCAGATTCAGGCCTACCAAGCTGTATACTTTATTAGGAATAGCTGTATGGCTAATCAGAGTATAGTTGTAGGCTGGAGCCCAACACAACACTTTCTTTTTTCACATAAAAAGTAGACTCTCATAAAAGCCTGCTTAGCAAAGCCATAAGCAGTGTTATTTTAAACAGTTTATTTACATTTCTTGGATCAGCAAAATGCTATAAAAAAAACAGTTAAGTCTGACACGTTCAGAAGCATCACTAATTACATATAGACATAAGACAAGACACTGGTGGTTAAAAAGAAACCAGAAGTTGAGAACTCCTGCTAATACACAGTTAAACTGTTAATGAAATGCAGAAATATACATACTTCGATAGTTCCTGAGATAGCATTGCATCATACTAACTGTTCAGGGGAGATGAAAGAAGTGAACATATAGTTTTGTAGGAAGACACAAGTACATGAGAAAGCCAGGTAAAAGCCTTAGGACTACTACACCTGAAACTTGACACACCAAAATTGGGCCCTCAAGTTACACCAATAATCCCATGCATTAAATAATGATTTCTTAACCAAGTACATGGAAGGTATGGATTTTGGGGGATTTAACAGCCCTACTAAAAGGAATTGTGATCATCTTCCTCAGACTTCCACTTCAAAGAAATTCCAAGAATTGAATTGATCATTTTTGATGGTCAAAGCTAGTCATAGCCTTTAAACTTTCTCTTCAAATAAACCCACATAACGTACCACTGTGTTACAGTGAGGCTGCAGAAGACCATAATCACAGGAGCACAATTCTATTTCTTTATTAACAACTACATTTATAAAATATCGGGAATAAGCAGCTGTACAACAGGTTTAACTGTCATACTTGAAAGGTCAGGTACTTCATAATGTGTCTCTAAGAAATAACAATTCAAACATTAGACTGCTCTGCCAATTGATGAAGTTAGGCAAGTATAAGAGTCATCCAAACTAGCGGTAAGTTACATGAACATCATCTTCATTGCAAAATCTGACAAACTAGTTTATTGCCTAGAGGGGACAATTTCCTTAGAAGAAAATGCTTCCATTATGTTGGTGAGAAAATAAATTTGTGCAAGGGAATACTGTGTCTTAAATGAAGACCAAGTTACTTATTCCACTGATTAGCTGATCTGCTTCAAAGCAACTAAAGACCCTTTGTGCTTAACTTAGTGTTACCTAACATTTTGCTAATCATTGCTAAGTGCTAATGACTAAGGTACCATTAATGTCAGTAACAGGTCATTTGAACAGCCAGCTGCTTGTCAGTCACTACAATACAGCATTATATTTTAAACCTGCTTCATATCAAGTGAGTTGTTGATCGACTTAATGTATGACTCCTTTTTTCAAAGATTGAGGGAAGACTCGCCAAGGAAGGAGAAGGAATAGCCTGTTGGGGAAGAAAATAAAGAGTTGTTTGATCATTTATTAGCCAATGTCAATAGTGCGTAGTCATTTCTCAACCTTGATACACAGTATATGGAATCACAATGTAACAGTACAGAAGACATGTAAGATCAGCAGCTTTTGAAATTAATGATTCAGTATTTCTGGATTTTGAACAAAAAGGTTAAACAACAAGAAATTAGTAGATTGAATATATTTTTAAAAAAAGCAGAAGAAAGATTACCCTTGTTACCGGCTCCGAGAGATTCAGAATGTAAGAACATGTTTTTGAAGAGTAGCCCTTAACCAAGTATTAGCATACATCTTGCATCACACTTTTTGCAATAATAATCTCCCTCCAAATTGAAGGCAAGACACATTATGATAACCTATTAGAGAAACAGAGCTCCCCTCAGATCCTACAATTTTGTGTATTCTTACCAGCTCTGAGCCCCAAATTAGATGCTGAACACATGCCTTCTTGGCTACAGAAGGCAATAGGCATCACAATGATTTGTCAAAGCTTGCTTTAGGTGCGCCTGGATGGGCACAAACCAGGCAAAAAGCTGGCTTTTCTGGTGCTAGAAGCATAGGCTGCTTCTGGGACTTAAAATTACAGTGAAACCAACATATCAATATGTAGCACTAAAAGTTAACCTCTTTGGATCAGCTGAGATTTTATATTCTTTTTACATTAGACCTCAAGACACTTTCACAAGCAATCTTCTCTTGCTCTTTATAGTCCAGCCAAGCTTTTCAGCATATAAACAGGTCATGGTAGTTAGGCAGCTTGCTGCACCTGCATGCCTCAAGAATCTTTTAAATAGGAACATTTTGAGCTGGTAAGGAAATACCACTCCACTATGAAGTCTAATGCCTGTTTATGGCATGTGTTCTATTTGCAGTCATAGGCAATATTTGAAAATTAAATCCTAAACTCCTCTTTATATAGCACCTCTTATTAGAATCTAAAGTATTTTCTACAGGGTATTTTTTCCTATTTACAGATAGATATGGGAACAAAAACTTAAAACCATAGGTAAAATTAGCTGCTCAAGACTCCCCTGCAACCAAGTTATTAAAGTCCTCAGAACTCTTGCCAGTGAGCTACACTACCACTTGGACAACTGAACTGAAACAAGTAGTAACTCAATTGTATAGAAATTAAGAAAAAACACCAGAAAATTAAAAAGATTTGTGGAAGAATTAACTTTGCACCCAGAACCACAAATAAAACTAGACTATGTGTAAGTGTTGACTCCAACACCATGCATTAGAACAAGCCAAAGAAAAACCCAACACCATTTAAAACACTTTGTGGATTCTAGGGTTTTATATAGTTGTACCATGCTGTCTTAGTTTAGAGGAATCAAGATTTTTTGCTCACTTCATGCAAGATGGGCATTAACAGTCAGGATTTGATGTACAGAATTTTTCTGCACCACACTTGTTATTATCTTCAGCATCACCACAAGTGGTACTAATAATAGACATAGGACATGATCTGTCCAAGGCATGACCATTTAAGCTTTCCAAGTTGGAAGAGGTTTTTTCTTCTACAGCATTTGAAAGACTAGTATTTCAAGAGCCAGGACACAGCACAAGTTGAGGCCTGGAATCAAGAGCTCCAACCAACAGAAGTGGAGCAATTAACATTAACACCACATTTGACAGATCCATTTAGGCTGCACATAGAAGATGAGTGAGCAATCTACAATTAAGGAAGGGGTTCAAGAGTTAGTCCAAACAAGAAAAAAAACAAGCATTCAAGCTTTACTGATATTTTTACTCTATAGTTTTTCTACACAAAAAAATCCCCACATAATTAAATAAAATCCTGTGCTTAAAGCAATATATCTGAATAACAGCTTTGACTCTCTCAATGGACTCAGGTTCCCAGCAGCTTTAGTTTCCTACTCAAGAGCTGCACCAGTATTCCAACTGGAGAGACCAGGATCCAAACCTCTTTTCCCCTCAATCTTATGATTCAACCAAATAGGCTTTATGCAAGTTCAGTGGCGTGTGGGATTGGTTAAAAAGACACCACACAACATCACACAATGTACACTCTGCTGCCAAGCTGCATCTTACTACCTCAGAGGTCCAAAAACTCTTGGAAGAATTTGAAATAGGAAAACAGTTTTTACTACTGTAAGTTCCTATCATTTTGTGGAAAAAAGTATTTTTGTATGGCATAGACACACACAAAGAGAAAAGTGCATGAGTTGCATTTCCATGAGAAATGAGATACAGTGCTGTATCAAACTAAAAGAGGGTAGACTTAGACTAGACCTAAGGAAGAAGTTTTTCACAATGAGGGTGGTGAAACCCTGGCCCAGGTTGCCCAGAGAGGTGGGAGATGCCCCATCCCTGGAGACAACTCAGGTCAGGTTGGATGGGGCTCTGAGCAACCTGCTCTAGTTGAAGATGTCCCTGCTCACTGCAGGGGAGTTGGACTAGATGCCCTTTAAAGGTCCCTTCCAGCCCAAACTATTCTGTGATTCTATGTTTACTCAGCATACAGATTTACTCGAACACTAGAATAACAGCATAGATAATGAAAAAATTCCTCCAAATGCAGTCTGCTTTACTATACTGTACTAGGAAATCAAGTTTGACCTACTGTAGCAGAAGAGAGCTGCAGTAGGAAGCCAGGCATAGCAGAAGCGTTGCAGTATGTAGAACAATGTATTATTTTACCAAGTTTTCTTAAACATGTACAGGGAGGTAGTTCTCTTGCCTTTTTAAAAACTCTCAGGCTGCAACATCTGTATTTCTCTACCATTCTTTCCCAGTTTGTTTCACAGGATGTCTATCATCTCACTACTTTCATTGATACTTTCACCACACTATTCAGGGTTGTACACCACATTTGTATATATCATCCAAGATTAAAAACATGAATCAACATAAGACTGTGTTGAAAGTTTATCACTATCTCAGAAGATAATACATATTCTATGTCTGGCAAAAGAAGGTTTTTTTCCCCTCCAACTTAATTGTACGCTGTTCTTCCAGTTTCTAGTACATACAGCAGATTTTTCTGCATTTTCAGCAAGTAAGCCTTCTCATTAAACAACTCTTGCTCAGACAATAATATGCCTATGGATGTAGTTAAAAATAAATTCTTCCACTGTGGATCTTGAAATTGTTAAATTAAGATCAGCACCAGACATTAAGATAACTGTGATCTTAAAAAGGTTACTTATTTGGCCTGCACAGCCAAATCACTTACCGCTAATGATGATGTACTAGTCAGTCGGCTCCCTATATAACTCTCATTAGCTGAACTGGGACTTCTTCCTTCTGTTGCACTATGTGACATTAAAGCCCTTCGAAGAGCTCTCTTCGGTGTTTTTGAGAAAGAAAATGCTCTTGTAACCTGAGGATTTTGATAAGCAGTTATACACTGACAAAAATCAGGCTGTAATAACTACTATAATACAGGCTACCATTCAAATTTTGACCATCTGTAGGACATGTATTAAATGTTTATAAGACTGTATCAAACCTAGCCAAACACACTCCCCCAAGGTGATCTGTCTTTTAAGGCTCCACATCACCCCTGCCCTTCTCACCCTGTCCAAATAGGAAGACAACATAGATGGGGAAGGTGCAGTGGAGATTCAGACAGAAGTCAAAATAAGGTCTAGTCAACTAGGCTTCCTCATATCCCTTGGGTTCTGCAAAGTCAGGAACCCCTCCTTTAAGTTGCTCTTAATTTAGTCTTCAGCAGCTTCCAAATCACAGCAGCCTCTACAGTTTTCTCTAAAACAGTATTATCATCTTGAACATACTAAGCCTGCTGCAAGGCTGCTGAAAATGAGGAACAGATTCCTCCTTCATGCATCATTCTCTGTCATCCCTTCTCACATGCTACAGACTTTAGCAGAACCAAACTCAGCGCACAGCCAACATGACAGAGCAGACAGGCAGCCTTCCTCCTGCCTCCCAGCCAGGTCCTCTTAGCAGAACAGGGCACAGCTCCTTAGTCTGTTACTTGGGAGCAGCTAAGCCCTACATAAAGGAAAGCATACACAGGCAGACACCAGCATTCCACGCTTCCTTCCTTGGTATTGCAAAGTCTGTTTTATTACCAGGACACACACACTCTACACCCATCCTACTTTTGAAGGTACTTGAGTTTAGATGATTGCTTGCAGCTTTAAAACTCCATTCAATATGCTAAAAAAGGTTATAGCTGAGCATTGGGGTTTTTTGTGGTATTTAAAAGATTCAAAACATTAAACAGAGTAAGTTCCACAACAGACCCAAAATTACTACATAATACTTACACAAAACACTCTCCACCTTGTTTCTTTAAGAAGCTTACACTTAAGAGTTTTAGTTCAAGACTAAGTTTTTCCTGTCACTACTGTAAGTACTATAAAACACCTGAAACAGGAACACTAGCAAAATTCCCTGACTAAAGTGAGGTTTACTATAAAGCACTGTCTTTGAAGTATCTTACCTTTTTTGATGTTTTCTTTATGGCCCTGGATGCTCTGCTTAAAGTACTGTCCATATCTTTAGTATTCACTTCAACTGAATCAGGGTCAGCAGTATAAATGAGATTTTCCTATACACAAAAATAGTCTTAATAATGGTCAAACATCAGCACTTGTCAAAATATCATTCTCTAGTTCATTAGGTCAGATTTAAAGGTTTTTAATTGCCATATTCTGCCATATTTAACTCTTAATATACAGTTAAGCAACTATTTGCTGTCATGCCACTTTATGGGATTAACTGCTGGTGCAATCCATGTATGAAACCACTGCATCAGCAGTTTTACATTTGGTTTGTTTGATTCAGTTTCAAGTTCAGGGTTGACCAGAGGAAAGGCAGTAGTTCTGAAGTATATCTGGGGGGTTTCACAACATATTATACGCCTTTGTTTCACCAACACTTGTAGCATTCTTCTGAAGTGAAATCTTGAGAGCTGCAGCTGTCAAACACTAAGACTAAACCTTTCAGATTAAGCCCAACTGATATTTCAGAATAGCCACAAGTTCTGGTTTTTTTTTTTTTGTGCCTCATTCTTAGATTCTAGCATGTGCAAAGTAATCTCGGGCTAACTACTTACAAAACTTGGGGGTGGGAGGGGCACACATGGGAGTGGGAAGTTACTGTGGGTTTTTGTTGTTGTTGTTTTGGGTTTTTATTTTGAGAAAAGACAGTTTACCTAAAATTGGGGCGGGGGGGGCCGGTGGCGGCGCGGTGGAAATAAGGACACCGGACAGTAAGCTGTATGGCTATTCCTAGTGCCTAGAAAAGTAGTAGTTAAAGCCTTTACTGCCACCATGTGGCAAACTCGACATTATCGCATTCCCACACGATACAGTTCTCAAAAACCAGGGAAAAGGGGAATTAATTGAAGCTCAATTTGACATTTAAATCAGCAAGGAAAAAAGTATTATGTTGTTGGTACACAGCAGTAGTTACAGAAATCATAACTAATGGGATTCAGCATAGTAGGTTACAATTTGTCAGCAGATGATTCTGAATGTCCTGGGGCAAAAGGGAATGATACATTACATAAAGATTTAATTTCTGTTAAAACACCTAACGTTTTTGCGTCCCTGTTGTGTTACATATAACACAATCATGAGACTGAAGATAGGCAAACAGATTAAAGTAAATTAACACTTCTGAATAAGTACTTTTCCTACTCAGTACCTAAAAAGGAAGGAAAAGCAGAGCCAAGTTTCTTATGAACAAGTCCCTACATGACAAGCCAAACAAAAAACCTAAGATGCTATTTTGATTACTTAACTACCTCTCCCAAAACAAGCATGTCTTTAAAAATCACAGACAACCAAACATTGTACAGTAAGAGTACAATGCAGAACATAAAACATTTCTAGCTTAAATCCAAGTTTCAGCTGTATGTACCGCACATTTTTAGCAAATTTGGATGACTGTTAGGCACACACTTTTACATAATTAAAACATTGGCTGAAAGTCTCTTGCCCTAATTGGAGAGAATCTACTCTTCAAATTAGCAGTTTTCTGGCTGTGGAAAGCCCCCACACTGAATTTCTAAAAGTGTGAGGAGGCCAGTGCCTCCTCTATTGCCTTAATTTTCTCATTTTAGGGTTGTAGATTTCTGTCATAGGAGAAAGATCCTTCACGTCTCTTACATTATGGTGCCCAAGCAAATAAGGTGTAGAACAAAGAATTCAACCTAACACAGAGTTAAACCAAAACATATGACTCAATGTTGGGATTGTAAATTGAAACAAAGCTGTGAAAGAAGCAAGCTGAAGACAATTCTGTTTAGACCTGCCCTACTGAAGATCTGCAGTGAAGAGTTTAAATTATTTATAATTAATTTGTGGTGGGGGAAGGCTGTGATTCTTGATTTTTAAGTACTTATTAGCTTCTGTAGAAGCCAACTTCCAGGCTGTTTCCTTTTCCACTTTTAACCACTCGCAGACATGCTAGCACAAATATTTTCTGCACTACTTCACCTCAAGCATGTCTGCTATTAACAAGTTCTTTAGCTTCACGTGCTTCAAGCCAAAAAGAGAGAACTATTTCCAATCAGCAACACGGTTCCAGAGCACTTACTGCATCTGCTTTACAAATAGTGTTAGCCACATGTCGACACAACATCTTCAACCAATCTTCCTTAGGAGGTTCTTCAGTTGTCATCTGGAAACTGAGTAGCTTGTTGTTCAGCTCTGTAGGTGGCCGCACAACTAAGGCAAAAGCTTTATGGCAATCTAGAGTTTAAGAGAGGCAAAGTGTTAAGACAACGAATAATCATTTTTCATAGAATTCAGGGGGGAACCTTCAAAAGAGTTAACCCTCCATCTGCCAGGAGCTAAAGTCAGGAACAATATGATTTGGTGTAAGGATTTTATCTTTATTTACATGATAGCTGTTGTATCACTTGCAAGGGCACCGAGTTCTGTCCACATCCTTCAACAAGAGGGCTGCAATCAGCTGTTCATGCAACAGCTGTTTATTCATCAAGTAATCTGCATACTATAGTCCACAGAGTAGTCAGTCTTCAGTGGACATAGCAGTAAATACCAACCTCATTCTCCAACTCTTGAAACATTGGACAGACCATTTCTTGATAAAGAGAGAATAAAGAAAACAACATTTATCCTTTTTTGTAAAGCAGGAAAAAGCAACAAAAACATCAGTACTAAATATGGCACACTAAACAGCAAAACTATTGTAACTTGACAAATATTGCTCACTTGATAGCAGAAAATTAATCCATTGCTGATACTCCTTTATAGAAGACACAGCTGAAGCATACTAACCACATTTAAGAAAGAAAGAAAACAAACATCGCCCATTCAGAAAAGCAGCACTAGAAAAGCAGTCCGGTAAGAGAGTAGCTGACCTCTCCCAAGATTTACCTACTGAAGTTCTCCGTAAGTATTAAACGATATGCTTAGAAATGGCTCCCATCGCCCAAGTCCCAAAGTAAACTTAAGTGTTACACAGTAATTTAAAGACAATTCTTAAGAGAAACCCTAAAGTACCTTTTAAAAACGCAGGTAGGCACCACATTTACTACCTACCCTCTTTGCCATTTCTACTTTTTATTGGGTTTCCATGTTCAGGTGCTTCAGAGAACATAAAGCAGAACAAGTATGATATGCATACCATCACCTGCAGTGAAATACCAAGTCTATCTTTTTAGGATATAGATCTAGAAACTAGTCTGACTAGACTTCTTCAGAAGTCACTATCAAGACTGGAACAGCACTGTAGCATGAGTTCTGCTGCTGTAGCAATGCATTACTTCAATGAAACCCCTACAATCTCAGAATGGCAAAGCAGCCACAGAAATTAAGTCATCTAAATCTTTTGTCCAAGGTGCTAAGCACAGCTCCTCCTGACCATCATTATCACCAGTTAAATGAAGATCTGCTTTCACAGCAACAGCACTTGCCTCTGGTCAGTCTAATGCTCTGAACTGAAGTTTGGGTTTTTTGGTTTTGTTTTTTAAATCCAGAGCTGTCAAGTGTACTCTTCTGTTTAACTCACACTGCCATTTAGTTGGCTTATGATAATGCTATCTAGTAGTTCTGCCAAGTTCAGCATCCTGCAGCAAGTCCTGAAAACCCTAAAGGCACCAATGCAAGAAATTCTCAAGCTCACACAGAGCTTCAAACAGAAGCTTATACTAAAATCACATACCTAACATACCATAAAAAAAAAAATATACCTTGGCATTCTACCCCACAACAGCAGACCTTCAGTCTTTATACTCCAAACAACAGTTTTCATTAGCTATCACGGCACTTCAAAATATACAGACCTTCTGTCTCCCTGATGTCTAGGACTTTCTTGATCTGGGAGAGAGGCATAAGAACAACATGCTTGAGAGATGCAGGCGGCCTCGTGTGACCATGCGGACTCTTGAAAGCACCGATAACTTTATGCCGTTTCCTCGCAATCTGCAATTAAACAGAAGACAAAAGAAGTTAAAGTTAGAAGCTCTATTGCCATTGTTTTGTTCCTCTATTCTTTTACCTTCTAGTACACAGGAAGGCACAGAAAGCCTCGCTACAGAAAAATACTCTAAAGAGTATTAGTCTTTAAGGAACTCACTTATCTCACTATTCACTGTCTACAGTTCAAGTGGTCCAGCAATACTTGTTACTTACCATAAATACCCTCACCTCAAAAATAAATTTAAAAAAAATAAATCAAGAAGGGAAGCAATTTTGCATTACAGACCTCAATTCTAACCTGCATAACAATCAAGTGCCCTTTGAAGCCTACCACAAGGTAGTCTAGATATTAAAAAAAGACAACCTCTATGTGCATGAACCAGCTTAGGCTGTGGTGTGTTATGTCCTAGAAATACCATTCGCTGTTGCCTGTGCATGCAGCCATCAAGTGGGTTTTGCAATGGAGGTTGGTCAGTTTTTACTTTACATTAACACATAGGTATCTTACATGTTTTCTAAGTAAGGTATCTTCAGTTGCTTGTATCTTGTACACAACATAAGCCAAGAAGCTTTAATAAAAGTGTTTTCATTTTTCTTTCCTTCCTTTATAAGAAGTGATGAAGCCAAGTCAACTTGACTCCCAAGAAGAGTTCATCATTAGTCACAACAATAGGCTTTTACCCCTATGTGCTGCTTAGAGACAGCAAGATAGTGCTGCAAGACAGCGCTAATTTTGGATTATTTTAGTGTTGGTCTTCTATGAAGACAATGTCCTCTACTGCTGTAGGCAGTAACAAGTACTTTCATAAAGCGTCCTATATAACCTCAGTTTTCTCCACATAAGTCTCCAAAACACAGTTAGATTACTTCCTAACAAACTACTATTCTAAGGCATTGAATATGTGAGTTTTTTTTATTTTTTGTAGCCTAAGCACAGACAGACCTACCCCAGAGGCCCACTGTTTACTCACATTAAATATGACTAAACTTTAAAAGGATAAACATCATGCTGAGCCAAGGACTCCCGTACTTTTTCATCCATCAATACTACTCAAAGTGCTATTCAGATAAACATTTATTTCTTAACATATTAAGCTGCTTTTAAATTTTTCATCTCGCCGCAAGACATTAAAGGCTACATTAACACCTCTCAACCATCCAGAACTGACTATCTACTTGTGTTGGCTTATACAATAGCTAATGGAAAGGCAAGATCAGCATGTGTTGAGCTATCAGCCTTCTGTGACTTAGAACTCTGCTTCAAAGTTTTTAAATTTTACTTTTTTCTATTCCTAAGTAGTGTTAAACCTTTTAATAATTCAGTTCATGAGCTGTATTTATATACTTATCTTACCTCTAGACAATCATTGAACAGAAAGAGATCACAGAGGTCATCACCAAGTGCTACGGTTTCCAAACGCTGAACTAAGCTTCGATGAGAGGACAAGAGATTGGCCTAAGTGACAGAAGCAAAAAGCTCATTAAGCATTTAGGTCAAGAGCTGGATTACTGCTTGCTTACAACTTAACACTGGAAATCTGTTTAAACCAGCACCACTGCCTTTTAGCCTCACATACATTTGCAAAGGGAGAAAACAAAGCGCAGACATTTTACAGGTCTGCAGCTTCAGAGAAATTACTTACTGGACATCCATCAACTTCATAGACCACATCAAAGAATTGCCTTTGTGCCTCCGTTTTTCTCTTGTCTTCATTAATATGTCTGAGGGAAGAATATTATATTTATCTTCAATACCAAGCAACAGTAAATGAATGCAATGCATTTAAGACATACAACAATAATGAATCATAGAATCATTAAGGTTGGAAAAGACCTTCAAGATCATCAAGTCCAACCATCAACCCAATACCACCATGCCCACTAAACCATGTCCTGAAGTGCCATGTCTACACGTTCTTTGAATATTTTCAGTAATACATTCAGAGATAGAGCTTACATAGCAACACTGGAAAATATAAAAAGTTAACCACACTTGCTCACTGAAGTACCTGAATACCATATTTTAAGCATATAGGAAACTTCAGACGTAGAACAATATTCTTATGTTATCAGTAGTTGACACACCATTCAGTTAATATATAATTCCCCTCCCCTGCTCCATAAGATTTTGAACTAGAAACCAACCCAATGCATT